GACTTCCCGGGAGAGCGGGGCTCTAGGCAGCATGAGGTGGGGTTGTCAGGGAAGAACCCCTGGGTCCACGCCTGGGTCTCCTCACTTGCCGACTGGTGTTTGAACTCTCTCGGGATGCTCGCTGTACCTTTTTCCATCTTACCAACCTGGTGCAAGAGGCCAGAAATCCTTTTCCAAGCGGGGAAGAAATAACATGACCCCAGGAACTGGTGTTTTAAAGGGGAGAGGATCTGGAAACACTCAGGGAGGAGGAGGAGCAGCCAGAAAGTAGGCGAGGAAGGCGAACGAGCAGCAGAGAGCAGGTTTGGGTTGGAAAAGTCTGCTGGCAGGAGGAGAGCACTCTGCATACATCGGAAGGTGCCAAGAAGCCCCTCAGCAGGGCGGCTGGCTCCCCTGGGCGCTTTCCCTCCCCAGTGCTCTCCCAGATGGTGCCTCAGCAGCAGCAAGCTGTGCAGGAGCCCCCCACTCCTCGGGGGGCTTTCCTCCTGACCCAAAATAGCTGCAGCTTGGCATGTGCCTGGGAGAAGGGCGACGCAGAATGCAAAGCTAATCTCTTGACTGGTTCTTCTTTCCCATGTGGGGCTGCCACCGCTCTCACATCGCACCACTGGTGGTTTTGTTTCGGGTCAGTTTCCAAGGCTGCTCCCAGATCTGCACGTAGGATGAGATCAGGCAGTGGGCTGGCATCACTGGGTCGGGGTGCGGGGCCAGGCGAGACCATCACTGGCTGCTGACACCACCCGAGCGACTGATTTTTTTTTTATTTTATTTTTTTTTTAGAAGTTACTTTATGATGCTTTAGAAGCAATTAGAAAGTAACTGATTATGTACTCAAAGGAGTGAAATGGTGTGCTGTACCCACAGGAGCCGTGTCTCTGACCCATGCTTCACAGCCATGGGCTTTGGTGCCAAGATCGAGGCTGGGGGTCCAAGATGACAGCTTATGTTTTTGGCTTTATAAGGCTTTGGCTGAGCAGACTTGCCTATCGGATGCTCCGAAGGGACCAAGCAAGGCGCATGGAAAGGAAGAGTTGGCATCTTTTCTTTTCCCACTGATTGTACCTAAGGTCTTTTATTATTGAGCCAGAGGTTGGGTCCATGTCCAGGGGAGGGCAACTTTCCTTGCCTTGTGTTTTCAGGTCAGATAGTGGGGAGCATGAGCTTCCCATGCTCAAAGCGGGTCAGCTAGAGGGGATGTAGTTGGGTTTGTCAGTGCTGCTGAAAATGTGGGAGAAAGGAGGGCTTTTTGGGGTTGTCCCGCTCTGGCAAGCAGCCTTTGGTGACGGAGGGAGCAGGGCACTGGGGGCAGGCAGGGGGGCACCATGAGCTGCTGCAGGCCAATGTTGTTGGTGGAATCTATTTTTGGACTGTGTTACCAGGAGCTGGGGGAAAGCAGACCCCACCCCCAGACCCTTTCCAGCACCAGGAACTTTCTGACAGGTGCAGCCAGGTCCCAAACAGGGGAATGGGACAGGAGGATACCATTTCCACGCCCTTCCCCATGTCAAGGGCTGACACTGACATCCTCTGGGAGCAGAGACGTCCCTGCCTTGGCAGGCTCTGATGTGCTGTGGGGACAGTGCAACAGTCATCCTTTTGCCACTTGCCTGGGGACAGAGCGAAGAGACCGTGTTAACACAGGACTTCCCAATTCTCTGACCTGTGGCTTGGGCACTTGAGCTTGTGCTTTCTTCAGGGCAGCATTGCCGCCGTGCACCCCGCGGCACTCAGAGCAGTGCAGCAGGAGAAGCTTCTCTCTGGATATGCAGGGCTTGAAATTCAATTTTGGTATCTAGGAGGGGTGCGGGGGCAATAGGGAGGGACGAAAAGAGATGCAGCAGCAGGAGGGAGGCTCACGGGAGCCTCACTTGGGATGAGCAGACTGAGGCTAGGTGGACTGGAGGCAGGCAAAGGATGCCTCTGAGTATCATACAGACCCACCCAGAGCTGGGGATCTGAGGGTCTCATCAGGTTTGTGCTGTCTGCTACATCTGTATTCCCAAGTAGTTTTTATTGGATGCTGCGAGGACGCACTGGAGGTGTGGGGTGAGTAGTGTTATGGCACAATGTCTTAGAGTCACAGAATGGTTTGGGTTGGAAGGGACCTTCAAGGATCTTCTAGTCTAACCCCCTGCCATGGGGTTTCACTAGATCAGGTTGCTCAAAGCCCTGACCTTGAACACTTCCAATGATGGGTCATCCACAACTTCTCTGAGAACCTGCTCCAGTATCTCACCACCCTCCTCATAAAAAATTTCTTCCTTATATCCAGTCTAAACTTACCCTCTTTCAGTTTAAAAGTGTTGCCCCTTGTCCTGTCACTACATGCCCTGGTAAAAAGTCTCTCTTCATCTTTCTTTTTAAAGATGGTGTGTGTGTGTGTTTATTTTGCTAAGTGAACTTCTTGAGGGGACACACCAGGGGGAGGGAGTGTGTGTGTGGAGGCTGGAGCAGATGTAGGCACAGCACTGCATCTTGTCACATCCCCGGCTTCAGGAGGGCTGACCTGTAGCCAGCAAGGAGATGTCTGGGTCTGTTTGCTGCTGGGACCCTCCTGCCCTCGCTCTCTGCCACCTTCTGTATTTCAGCCTTTGGGCAGGTTGCTGCTTTGCAGTGGCACAGGAAGGACACGTGTCTCCCCTTGGCGTGCACTGGTGGCCATGGGGTTGTGTGGGGCCATGGGGTTGTGTGGGGCCATGGGGTTGT